ACAATGTTTACTCTTTAAATGACCTAAAAATATCCGGCAAAGTATATGTCTATCTTTTAAGATTAACAAGACCGATGGGACGCAACCAACGTCGTGGGTAACGACGATAATGTATAAAGAAGTGGAGGAGGTTTGCAAAAACAAATTCTGTCGTCGAAGTCACTGACACAGCTAGTACATAGTACATATATAACATGTTAACTATTTGTAACTAGGTAAGTATCACCCATTATATATACATTTTATACCATTTGTACTGCCTAATAATATGTACGTTCTACTCAATCGTAGACCATTTCTATTTCGCGCGTAGCACTGCTCCGGCGTAGCACTGCTACGGCGTAGCATATTCGTTACTTATTTCTTGTTTATTTGGTATTCTACAGCTAAGATATGGTCATCATAAATGTTAAATTATTTTAAACTCTTTTGTCTCATATTTTTCTGAAAATATATGTTCTAAGAGCAGTAGTTTCCGCAACATTTCATGAAGATTTTTAGCCCAAGAAATGCAGTGTATGAATAGAGTACATTTATCTCAATCCATTGAGTTGGAACACCGAGCCGCTGATCGATCGAAGGATGAAGAAGCAATTTATAATAAAACGTAACAGGCTTTTGGAAACGAATGTCAGATGTACGGTCAGCAAGGATGGATGACTATAATATTATCACTCACTTTTACGAGTACTTTTCAATTCATATCATCCAATTCAAATTCGATGTAATTTCTTATATATTTAGACTATATTATGCGTGTTTGTTATTTTAGAAAAAAATACATTTATGTGACTAGTACGAATGACAATAAAAGTGCTGTGAATGGGTTGTAAAGACGTTTATTTAAAATTGTTGGATACTATATCGATTCGTTTGATACATTTAAATATAATTTAAATACATATTACATACATACAATTTAAAGTCCTAATTGTATCTTAAACCTCCGTTCGTTCCTTACATATTTTGGTTCCTTAAAAAAGTAAATAAGAATGAATTTGGTGTTCTTATGAGCCGTGTGTACCAAGAGTTATTCAGGAAATATGGCGGCGACGCACGTTACTTCGATGCAAACGATATTTTTCAGGGGTATAATTTCATATAAAAGATTGATTACATTCCTGAAAGAATGTGCTATACCGACCCACTGGCTTCTGAAAGTTATAATACTGAGTGGATAATGATTACTACTTATAAATAATTGCTTTGAGTATATTTATTGTTCTTAGTAATATAGTATTTTTGGATGAACTTTAAAAATAAGTTCAATAATAATTCCGTTAAAAAGGACAGTAACTTTCTTTATCTAGTTTTTATTAAATAAAACACTTTAACGGTTTAAAACGCGATATATTATTTAAACTTATTTTAAAATGATTTTTACTTCGGCCCGACGTTTCGGATGCTTTGCAGTCTCCCCGTGACCACGGTTGCTGCAAAGCATCCGAAACGTCGGGCCGAAGTTAAAAACCCTTTTAAATAAGTTTAAGTAATATATCGCGTTTTAAACCGTTAAAGTGTTTTATTTAAATGTGTACTACTCGCGTAAACTATAGACAGTATTTAGTTTTTATTAGTCAAATATTAGCAGCCAAGTAATCAGTCAGTAGTATCAGATGAAATTAAATACAATAAATAGTTACTCGAAACCTTTTTATTAAGTTAATTATAATATTTAATGATAGAGGATGGCAGACAACTAATGGAAGGAATGCACTTAATGGAAGGTGAAGTACTTCAGCGTACATCTAAAAATGACGTGCTGTCCACATACATATTTTGTTTTGAAAATTCGGAAATCCGCAGACTGAAAACACATCGCAATTAAACTTCACGGATTTTTCACCTGTGAACGGTGTTTCGTGAGCCAGACGGAATTTCGATATTCCTACCACCCATTTAAAATCTAGATTTCCATATGAAGTCCAACATGTTGTAGAAAAAAATATAAATTGATTAGATAGATGTTGAATCCGGTGAGAATCGAATCCACGGCTCGTTGATTATTAGTTGTACGTTGCTACCATTGCATTATTGGGCATACAGTAATTTAATTTATTCTGACGTGCTTTTAATCTTAATATATATAAGTTAATGTTTATATTGGGTTAGCTAATACATAAATATAAATAAATTTTCAAGTGTATTAAACTGCGATTAATATCATAAACACGCTTATGCTTTAGAAAATCCATAAGCTCTTTACTTAAGAAGTGAAGAATAGTCAAAGCGTCTGACGACTTTGCAATGAATAAAAACATAAAGATATGAAAGAGTTGCGGGTCGCTAACTCCTAGTAAACGAGTTGAAGGAACATTTTTCTTTGTTGGCTTTAAAAATCTTATAAAATGCTGACGTTACAGGTAAGGCACAACTTACGCAAAAATACTTTTTTTTTTTTAACTAAGAAAATATCTTTATGTAGCTTTTATTCTGCTATAGAGAACACACATAATCCAAATGTATGTGTACATATTTAGACCGTTTCGATAGTTCAGTGATAAACGTGCTACCTAGCATTGCGTTAAGTAAGAGAGCTTCTGAGTTCGGTTTCTGGGAAACAATATATTGGTCTGGTAGAACAAAGAAGTAAGAGCTACTTTGCCGCTAAATAATATCGTTAAATTACGCGATATACACCGATGTTTTCTAATTGCAAAGGGGGAAATAGGATTTCGCTTTGTTTAATAGTGAGGTTAGTTCGATTTTTGATTTACTGTTTGTATGTCACAAAAAAGTAAATTAACTTTTCTTGTAAACTAAAACAATGTAGGAATAGTAAAATTTGATGAAATGAAATTCGCTAGCGTTGAAGATAAATTGCCCAAATCCCAGCAGTGGGAATTATTAAAGGATCCATGATTAAGATGTCTCTAAAGGAATATAAAAACACCAACCATTTTGGTAAAGCTAGTTTTTTGCTTATTGAAGCAAGTATTATCGTAGTCAACATTTAATTAAACACGTTCGGTTAACCCACAAAATGAGTAATTAAATGAGAGGAAGTGTCCCTTGCAAATTTGATACAAGAGGGGGGCCCCTGGTTTTATCAAAATTTGACTTGAACTATCAGATTTAAAAATCTTTAAAACATTTTATGCTACAAAACATGAAAAGGCGAAAAACAAACCTGTGACCAATATCACAGATACTTTAGTTTCTTTACTATTTAATACATTGTCTAAATCAAATAATACAACAATAAACGAACGATAGAGACACAAAATAAATCCTGGTTAAGATAAGTAGATTTTATTAAAATTAATAAATACTCTACAAACCACACCTCTATACCAAATAATTTTAATTGAAAAAATCTTTCTCAGTTAATATCGTGAAAACTCAATTGAATGTAAATTCTAAAAGCTAATTAGCAATTCATATTGTCGAATGAAAACGTTTTCTTATCTCCAATAGACAAAGCAATTTCACGCATTGATTTATGCGTTATCTACCAGAAAATACACACTTTTCTCAGAACCTTCTATGGAAGGTCAGATTTTTTTCGCAATTAAAAATAATGTATTGGAAATTCGTTGTAGGTGAGTTTTGTAACAATTATCTAACTCGTAGTGGTGGCTTGGAATTAATTATAAAATTGAAAAAAGTTTGCAAAAGTTAGTGGACTAATTATCTTGTGAAGTTTTGTTTGTCTGTCATTATATTATGTTCATTTGATTAATAGAACCTGGATTAGACTCTGTCTTTTCCTGTCTGTAACAAAATTAAACCTTCAAGCATATAAAGGAAAGATAGCTTGTACAAAATATTCTGCACAAACCAATTCGTATAATTGACTAATTTTTATAAGCGCTAAAGTGAAAAATTTCCGACGTAATTATGAACGAGTAATGTGTTGCCTAGGATTGCGTGAAGTGCGATAGGTTCAAATCCCGGGGAAACAATATGTTTCGGTCGGGTAGAACAGATATAACCGATCAATGCCCCACAAAGGGAAACGGAACATAAAAATGTGCTAAGTGACGTGATTGGTTTGAGCCAAAGGGGTGATAACCCTACCGAAAATGCCTACACATTAATTGAAAATATAAATTTAATACAAAAGATAATAGTATGATCGAATAAACCCGAAACTCATGGGTGTTTAAATAATTGGTCCTTCAGGGGCCGTGGGTGAAAATGGAGGCTCTCTTAACATAAGTTTAATTTGGCTAACGCTATTACTTTACTCTCGTTTATTTTACCACTTGTCTAAATGAGATTAAAATTATACAGAATTTAAGCTTATAATAATATTATCTTTATTCGTACATAAACAATTATAATCTATACTAATATATAAAGCTTATGAGTTTGTTTGTTTGAACGCGTTAATCTCAGGAACTGCTAGTTTGAATTTAAAAATTCGTTTTGGCTATAAAACATCACACTGTGACTAATGGGAGGGAAGAAACAGCGGCAAATGGCAAACGTTTTCATTAAGTGTAAAACGGTTCAAGTTACGTAAATATTTATGTATCAAATAACGATTCCTCTTTAAATTAACAAAAATAAAAACTTAAATATTAACTTGCAAGAACGACGGGACGCGGATGCTGTCGTGAGTAAGAGTGTTATTTTTTAAAGGTGGGTTTGCAAAAACTAATTTTGACAAAAGAAACAAATAGGACGAAGTCGCTGACACAGATAGTGTATATTGATTGTATTGTATGTTGTATATTCCAATTTGTCAGCTATTTGGTTTTTATAGACGGTGGTTCGGAGCCCGGAAGTAATTTCGATATTATTGTTTATAATACTATATATGTTTTTCGATTATAACATATTCAAAAAATATATTTTCTTACCTATTGGACCTGCTGATAATTGAACTCACAGCCCACTGAACTCTATAAATACATTGCTAACATTACAAAAATTGTGTAATGCAGGCACGAAAAATTATATAACACCTAATTCTTAATAATATATTTCTTTTGTTGTTTAAAGTAAAATGTTGTTTGTATATTTTAGCATTATTTCTACTTAAGTCTCTTACAATGGGAGTATGGCAGCAGTCGATACGAAGTAGAGTATTGGCTGAGCTTACTGGAGGGAAAATGATTTTGAGACAGGGGTAAGATTATATTGTACTGTCTGTTGTTTGCAAGAGCAATAAACATAAATAAATAAAACACTTAAACCGATTTTAGATTAATATATTGCCATTAGGTGCATATGAAAAAAATTAAAGTTTTTAAAAACTTACAATGATTAATACGTGACATATATTTGTGAACCCAACGTTTCCGATGGTTTACAGCAGGCATAATTATGGAGGGATTGAAGATGGAAATTAAAACTAATAAAAAGCCCCATCTGTTTTCTTTTAATTGAAAATTGAAGAAATGAGCTGGGTCCTTACAAAACTGACCAAGTTCTCTAGTTTATTTGTGCCATTTTTAATTAATGTTTTGGTGTTTTATTTAGATGTATTAATTTATTCAACAATCATCGAACCAATATTTCGTCGTTTCATTTATTTATTTTTCGCTTATAACAGTTATGTGTTTGTTTAATGTGTAGAGACCGTGATGTATGGCTAATAATCAACGGGTCGTTGGTACGATCCTAACTGAGTCGTGTTTCTAATTTTTCTATTTATAATTTTTGTAAAACAGGTCGGACTTTGTCAAGAATTTTGGATATTAAATGGGTGGTAGGAATATCGAAATTCCGCCCTGATCACAAAACACCGCCCACAGATGAAACAGCCGTTGCAGTCTGTGGATTTCTGAATATCCAAAGCCAAATTAGGCGACAGCGTTTCTTGTGTAGATGTTATATGGCTGGGGTATTTCACCCCCAATCAAATAAACCTCACAATTGTCTGTCCACCTCTATCCTTAATAAAATAACAATATATATTTTATTACAGAAATGAAACAGTAGAAGAGGCAAAGAAAAACTGCATGTGCTCCAAAATATACGACCCAGTGTGTGCCTCCAATAACAAGTCTTACTATAATGTCTGTCAAATGGAATGTGAAAATGAAGCGAATACTGTCTTCGTCGTCCATCATGGGAACTGTATACCATATTAACTTGAATAAAATTATCGAAATCTTAATATCACTTATTATTTAAATTAAATTTCTGTTCACAAGGACAAAATCATTTAAAATGTCGATACACATATCCTACTTCCTACGAGTCCTAGTAATATTATAAACGTGAAAGTTTGTATGTGTGGATGGATGTTTTTGTTACTCTTTCACGCAAAAACTAGTGAATGGTTTTCAATTAAACTTTCCAATAATTTAGCTTATACATCAGAATAACACATAGGCTACAATTTATAAAGATATTGTGTGAGCTGTCCAAAATATGACATTAAGTGTCAAGTAACTAGGAAAAAACCTTTCTGCGAGCTATTCTGGCGTGCATTGCCATAAACGTTAGTTACACATAATTATGTAATGTATAATATGATAGACATGATATAGTTTAAATACGCGATACTACGTAATCCTAACCGACGAAGTTGCGGGCACCAGCTAGTAATAAGCATATGGCTAACTAGATTCAATACCCTAAGTGCTTACCTCCACTCCAGTAGTAGTAGGCCAATTGTCGATTGTCAGTTTATATAAATGGGATTGGGCACTCATATAGGAGGGAATAATACTAAGACACAAAAGTGTATAAACGTAAGTCACAACATAGTATGTACACTGAATTTACGATAGTTAATTACTCTTAATAACGCACTGGACTCACGGAAACTTTAATACATGCGAAGATTAAAACTTATAGTCTTACTTTGCAGTCCCAAAAACATAATAATAAAAAACTGTACAATCGTATCGCACGAGCGACACCCAAAAGCATCTGTCAGCGCGCGCACACCTTCGTTCGGCCGTCGTATATAAATACTAAACTACCCTCCAATTTTGTTTTATTCCGAACACCACCTGTTGGATCCTTTTATTTTTTAATATTTAATTTAATTAAGTTGCTTTTTATGATAGAGGAGGATAGATAAGCATAAGGAACACGTGATTGTAGCTGAAATATATATATATGAAATATAAAATCTAAACAAGTGATTAAACTTCATGAAAACGTTATTATTTTTTACATGTTATTTGCACAAGAAGGTACTATATCATTTAAAAATCTAAAAGAGCAACACCGCGGAACGGTTGCCGGTTCAAGTCCTGCCCGAGTCGAATTTTTTTTCAATTTATTTTCGATTTTTAAATTTCTTGAATGACGTGAAATTTCGATATTTCCACTATCCATTTAAAATTTCCGAACGTAGTCCAACGTGTTTCGTAGAAATTATACATTGATTAGAAAAAGGGGAAGCTCAGTAATACTGTCTGTACTTTACGCAAATAGTACACATTGAAATAAAACACTTTAACGGTTTAAAACGCGAAATGTTTTAGTTAAACTTGTTTGAAAATTATTTTTAACTACGGCCCGACGTTTCGGATGCTTTGCAGCAGCCGCGGTCACGGGGAGACCACGACGAAGAGGCTCGACGTAGCGGCTGCTCTTTTTTAAGTTTAACTAAAATATATCGCGTTTTAAACCGTTAAAGTATTTTATTTAAAAGGTCAATAATATTTGTATCCACGAAAAAAGGCGCGGTCCCATTTCATTTCAGCGTAGTCTATTCTAGCAATTTGTTTAGTAAAAATTTGAAATGTGTCCAAATTTGAATTCCGACTCCAATTTGTACGCATGACGCCGACGGCGATTACCAATAATTGTTGCTAAAACAAAAGAAATATGACTAAAATGGTTTTTCCGCTCGCCCAAAAGCAAATTGACACAAAATAGAGGTAAACAAAAGAGCTTAAACGTTATATCCCCGAAATAAAATATTCAAAACGTCATGTTAAAACAAATGAGGACGCGTCAGCATTCAGCTGCACGATAAAAATATCGCACTAATTTTGTATAACATACGGCGAACGATTATTTTCATTTTATTGCGGTCAGCCGTGGCGTTTCGCTGTTGTTTTTTTTCAATATTTGCATATTTTATCTAAAATTCCACTGTTTGCATCCTCTGTTGTTATCGAAAATGTTATTATATATATATAATATGTTATTTTGTTCCGCGTGTGACTACGATTGCCGCAAAGTATCCCAAACGTAGGGTCGTAGCTAAAATCAATAAGTTTAACTAATATATTTTACATTTTTAACTCATAAAAGTGTTTTATTGAAATGAGTACTATTCCTAAATTACAGACAGTGTGACATTTTGTTAATATAGTAGTTACTTAGTAATTATTTATAACAGTCTAAAACATAAACTATACAAGTAAGCAAATTATGTAGGTTTGAAGATGATGAACGTTCTAATATCAAATTGAATCTTCAACATCGCGACTCTATATCTTATGTACTTCTTTCTCTTAATAATTGTTAAACCGTTTAACATTGAGTTAAACCACAAGGGGTTTGATTCCTGGAGAAAAAATAAAAAGTCTGTTTTGTCAACAAAAAATAATAATAAATACATAAGGGTCGCCTAAATTCGATCAGGCTTATTTGTTAAAAAGAATTAATGGGAAGACACAAAAATGTGTCTGTCCCATTAATTCTTTCATTGCTCCATGAAGGGGAAAATCGGTTTTACTATTTGCGCCTGCCATATTGTTTTAGCAATGCTGACAAACATGCCGATTAGTCTTTTCTCTCTCTATATGGCTGTTAGGAGCCTGTTCAAGACATCCCAACAAATTGGGCTAGATATGTCCAGTTTCTGGCCTTTGGAGTCACGCTCAACATCGTAGTTACAATTTAATGACCTTTTCGAGTACCTTCTGTGGTTTACACGAGTAGTACTCATTTAAATAAAACACTTAACAGTTTAAAATGTAAAATGTATTAATTAAACTTATTTTAAAATTATTTTAGCTCGGCCCGATTTGGTGCTCTGCAGCAGCGGTGATAACGAGGAGACGGTGTCTCTGAAACGTCGGGCCGTAGTTAAAATCATTTTCAAATAATAATTTTAACTAATATGTATATCGTGTTTTAAACCCGTAAGTGTATTATTTTAATATCAAGCTGTTCTGTCTATTCATTCTGTAACAACAAGTATATAAGGCGAAATCTTAGCTAGATTGAAGACCTACAACGTTAGCAAGATAAATCTCATAGAATACGGTTTAGTTAACTATATTAATTTGAACGGAAGAAAGACTGTGCGAGGGAATTACCGAGACAAATTGCTTAAATAAATAATGGTTCACGGGACGAAAACGAAGCTACGGAATCTAGTCGATAAATAAGTGCTCTAATGCTATGGTACATGTTTTCGCTACTTTAAGCTTTTAGGACTGCTATGTGTTCCTACAAATTACCCTGGCAAGAACTTCTATCAACTTTCAAAACACGAATACATTTAAATAACATAAACACTAATACTTCAACTGTTTAAAACGCGATATATTTTAGTTATACTTATTTGAAAATAATTTTTAACTACGGCCCAACGTTCCGGATGCTTTGGTCGCCGTGATCACGAGGAGACTAAAATATACGGCGTTTTAAACCGTTAAACTGTGTACTACTTACGTAAACTACAGACAGTATAGAAGGAATACAGTTTTTTATTTACCATTACAATTTTTTACAATAATTAAATAGATACGAATGATTAAAAAGTCTTACTTAAAATGTAAATTGCTACAATGGAAAAAGGGCCCTCCTTTGCAAATTAGTGTATTATAAGGCGCACTAATGATTTTTAGGTAGGCCCTTAGGATCGTATTGACGTGTGACGTTTAAATGCGACAGATATATGCAATTTCGTAATAAGTAAATTGATAACTAATGACACACTATGTTGTTTTGTTGTCGTAGACATATTAAAATTATACATTTAATTGGCTTCGCCTAAAGTTTCATTAATTAATCGCAACAAACGAATGTTTTAGGTAATAGAACTAAAAAAGAAAGTTAACAAATACATTTCACGTTTTAAACGGTTTAAGTGTTCGATTTAAATTTTTCATAAAACGCTATTTTCTAAACCTTTGAAATATCTTGAATAAATTTATAATATAAGGTTTTAAATATTTTGTAGTAGGAAGTTAAGTTAAGTACTTCTTTCAAACAAATCTGGCATTTACGGAAACTAACAATTACAATATAAATGACAGAGTATATTTAAATCGTAGTTCTTACTCTTTGAGTAAATAAATGATCAGAAGTTTTTTTTAACATCAGTATGAATCTCAGTCACGAAAGACGAGAAAATGTCGTCTTAACTTTAAAATATGACTTGCATAATGAGAATTTAGAGGGATCGTTAGGAGTAGTGAAAAGCTCCTAGATCTTTCTTATTGCTTATGATTTCTATTTTACAATCCTTTATGAGATGGTGATCTCACGAAAGTTGTACTATTAATAAGCATAATCGTTTTTTTATGTTATTACAAAGAAGGACAGACAAACACAGGGTTCACTCGATAAAGATGTAATGCTCCAGCAATATAACTTCCAAATAAGAGCTATCCATCAATTTTAGCTTTCGACTTGACTTCAACGGTACATGTATACACTAATATAATATTAAGTTTCTACTTACAGAACTTTGACAGTGGAATTTATTGCCTTGAGTACTTGCCGCTAGATGAACACGGTCTGAATTAATGTTTTTAATAGCATACATGCGTACGTAATAATACTCCGCGTTTCGAACCGTTTAAAGTTCCTACTTACTGAATTTAAACTGGGGCATTTATTGCCTTATATTGTGCAAGACGGCTCGTCATGAAGATTTTCTGGTTGTTTATCATTGAAATTTCGTGAATTTCATAAAACGTACGCTCGTAGAAGACAAAGCGAATGAGAAAACCGACGCGGCGTCACCTCGAACCGTATTTAATTACGAAACTACGACTCAGAAATTGCATTATGAATCGTGTTATACGTCTGTTAGAGTACAGTATAGTGGTATAGAGAGAGGAACCTTTCGCACTACATTGCAGCGTGGAGCGGGATATTTCTGTTTATTACTGATCAAATGTTTGACGGGCACGTTGGTCTAGTGGTAGCAATGAATGGCTAATAA